TTCCACCACCAACCGGCTGACCAGCGGTGTGTCAGACAGAGCCTCGTCACGACGGCGCCGACGCGGTGTTCCATCCGACCAACCGTCCACGGAGTCCGCTGTCACCTGTGCACGCGGCACAACGCGCACAGGGAGTAACCGCATATACAAGACCTGATTTCACGACCTCTGATTCGTGGATGACTGTGCAGTAGACAACATAGTACAATGAAACATTCAGCCGGTCCCAATGAGATCCGCAGTTCCCATTTTGTAGCGAGTCGCTTCTCTGTTGACTAGAGCTGCCCACATTTTCAGCCGTTTGTCCATTGGATTGCGTAAAATCGGACGAGTATTCCAGACTACCGGCACAGCGGTTGGAGGCGTTGGACTTCTAACCAACTGGGCGTGCGATCGAGCCTCAGGTTTTCTACACTTTGGGGTTGGGTATGGCTGGTTGACGACGACTAATAAGCCAGAAATGACATTTGCAGTCTTCCTTGACTTTGTCGTTAATGTTATATTTTGCGTCGCTGTGCGGCTGCTAGTTGGGTTCGAGAGAGAGACTGCCCTAAGGCACAACGGGACGAGTAAATTCCATAACACAATTGGTGGGCGTACCTCTGCCATTATCTATTCATATATGTGTATGGTAAAGGTATTATACCGCACTTCCGACAGATAGATACTAGCTAAAAACCCAGCCACGTGTTTCGCTGATATTCTGCCGCTGAGTGACACAAATGCGAGAGACGCGGCTACTCAGTGGGTTCCAGCGTCCTCTATGCGGTTTCCGGTAATATGAACTCCAAATGAATAATTTCAGAAATTATTTGGCGCAGGACATGGAGTTAATTCTCCGATATATGACTTTTTAGGGCCAGACCCGAAATTTCAATGAACATTCGAGTTGGAGACAATCAGCTACTGTGGAATAAACACGTAGTGCACATTCTTCAAAAAAGTATTACTACGAGCAGTAATATCGTACTCCCGACGTAGATACTATTTAAAAGCCCAGACACGTGAAGGTACAGCCTCGTAAGGGACATCCAAGTCAATATGGCGGCTGATACTACCCGCATTGGAGCACCAAGCCTCGAGAAATTCCCTCGCTCGCCTTGTGTTAGCCGTGGCGACGACCTCAGTGCCATCCCATCGACTGAAGAATTCCCATAAAGGAGTGTTTTCCCAGCCGGAATACTCACCTGACGAGAGAATGAAACAGTGCGAACTTGTCCCAGAATTGAGAACACGGCGAACCAACGGAGAACAGAACTTGGTAACCTACAAAGATCAGATAGTAAAACGACATCCTGCTCCCCTCTGGCTCAGGCCAATTCGAATGACCGCACAGGCACCCCTGTAGCCTGTGTCGGGACCTTAAACAAATCTCACATGAACTCGAAGCTCACACTTATGTATGCTAACGCGCAAAATGTACTTTCAAAACTGGATGAATTCCGAATCCTTATCTGCGATCCACACCCAGACGTTATATCAATAACAGGAACATGGTTGTCCGAACAGGTTGATGATGGGAGCTTTTGCTGCCTGGATTTTAACAGTTCCGCAGCGACAAGGAAAACAGAGGGGGTGAAGGCGAAGCAACATTTGTTAAGAATGGCTTGTACGTTTCAGAAAAAACTGCTAAGCCAACTTGTAGTACGGAAGCATTATGACTAACCATAAGAGCACCGGGTTATCAAAGCGTCGACATCTTGACAGCATATCGTCCCCCCCAGAGAAATGATCCCGAAGGTGACGTCCAACTGCTGAATGAGCTGAGATTATTTTCTACGCTGCCGAATACTCTCATCGTTGGGGACTTTAATGCCCCTTACATTGACTGGAGCTTGGCCTCCGCCGACTGCTCTGAAACAGCATTCAATCAGCAGCTACCGCGTACCATCTACAATCTGCTTCTCACCCAACACGTAATGTTTCGGACGAGAGTTCGTGAAGGCCATCAAGTGAACTGCCTCGATCTTGCGTTCACTAAGTCGTCTGATAACATCAACGCTGTGAATTGCCTCCTCTCATTACGTCACAGTGACCACGTCGTTCTCATGTGGGAATAAACCTCATTCTCCCGCCTGTACAACGGCTTGATTCCCGACTCAATATCTGACGTGGTGATTTCGAGCAGATGTAAAAAGATCTTCATCCTACCGACTGGGCATCCCTACTCTCCGGCGATACCGAAGAGGTTTGGTGTCAGTTAAAAGAGATAGTCTACAGCCTCATCTCCAACCACTGCCCAATCATGCTTGGAAGACCAACGAATAGATCCCGCTACTGACTCCGTCCTAGAGAAGGAAGTTTACAAGAAGGGGAAGCTGTGGAGAAGATACTTCATTGACCGGACGTCAGAATCCCTAAACAGTTATAGGTTACAGAGAAACCGGGTCAAAATTGCCACCGCCAGAGATCGGCAAGTCTTCAAAAAGGATCTTTTGAACCGCCCTACAGTTAATCCCAAATTCATTTGCAGTTACATAAGGCAGAGTTCGCGGACCCAAAGATCCCATCCCACTGCTGCGAACGGCTGAACACACGGAAATCTCAGATGATAAGTATAAGGTTGAGCATTTACCTCAGTTCGTCCAGTCCGCCGTGACAAGTGAACCCGATTTTT